GGGAAGGCTCTGAGAAGGGCTTTGCGTCAGAGGCAGAGAGGGGACAGGGCCTTATGCCAGTTATCAGCTGCCTTCGGAGTCAGACATCAGTGAGGCAGAGGAACAGCTGGAGCCTGTTCCCAGTGTGCACATATGCAGAGTTGCCATGCAAAGCTAAAGAACAGGGGTCAACTTGGGAGTAAGTCCACAGTTGGACAATGAATGGCCATTCTGAGAGGAAATAAAAGAGGAGCAAAAGGGGGGTGGAGTTTGCAGGAGACAATTAGTTCCCTTCATTGGTTCGTGACTCTCCAAGACTCCTTGCCAAGTTTTGCAGATATCGGCCTGGCAGCTCTCCAAGTCAGAGAAGGTCTGTGACTGTAAATCCTCCCTTGAAAGACTTTGCTAGATGTGAATGAACAGGATTCACAGTCAATTAATCAAAGGGGTTTTTATGTTGGGACAAGGAGTTTGCTTCATGCTCTTGGGAAGCCTCGCTCAGAACAAGTATGAAGAAAAGTTCTGCTGATTATGGCTGAAGGATCACCTGGTCTTGCATCTTATTTCCACCCAAATGTTCCCAATGAAGTTCATCCACAGGGCTCAGGGGGTTCTAGTCATCTTCTGAGGATTTCCAACAATTATCATCAATGATATTGTCAGGGTTCCAAGTAACATACCCATAGCAAACAAAATTCTGAGGCAGGCGAATTCCTGAAAGAATAGGTATTTTGGATATGTTGTATTGGCACCGGCTGGTGAAAACAGACTCTGAATATTCCCTTTGGTTTTCACCTAATTAAAAGTAAAATTTTGTCACTTTTTCAAAACAGTCACATTGTCCAATCAGGATACTGTTTAGTCACTAGATGACTCGAGTCCCCTCCTCCTGAGCACCTGCAGGAATGCCCTTGATTCCCAAGAGAAAGTATTTTGTTTTGACTAGAACTCCCTAACTAACTCTATTCCCCCTCCCTATCCCTCGCCTTCAGTGTGTCACTGAAGTCTCAAGATGGCCTCAGAGAGGCCAGCTGCAGTGTTGACAGATATATTGTAACCTGTAAACCTGTGGCTTTTGTACCCCTATTTTTGATTTCCAATGGAAATGAATCTTCTGCAGAAGAGGAAGGTGACTGAGATGGGTGGGGAGAAGAGCCAGCCCTGGTGTCTTTATCTGGTTGGGGGTTCCTCAAGACAGTTCCTCACAGTCCTCCTTCTTCCTTTCAGGTAAGAAGAACTCCATCCTTCTCCATAAGGTCCAACATGACCTCAACTCGGGTGTCTTCAACTACCAGGAGAACGAGATCATCCAACAAATTGTGCAGCACGACCGAGAAATGGCTCACTGTGCCCACAACCTCCAAGCGGCAACGGCGGCTGCAGCATCGACTCCCACACCTGTAATTTGGACCCCGCTGATCCAGGCTCCTCTGCAGGCCGCCGCCGCCACCACTTCAGTAGCAATAGCACTGACTCACCACCCACGCCTTCCCACAGCCATTTTCCGCCCTCCGGTCTCTGTTCTGGGCTCTCTGGGCCAGTCGCAAAGCCAGACGCCGAGGCGCTTGAGGAGACTCCACTCCTTGGTGTCTTCTGCCGGACCTTCCATCGTGGGTTCCCCATCAAGCACGCCATCCCAACAGCACACGCCAGGGATGGAAACCCTTTCCTCCTCCTCCTTTCAGATCCAGCAGTTGGCTGGGTTTACCGCGTCAGCCAGCCTGGGTGGGTTGCACCGGTCCTTGGCCAGCTCTCCGTCCGCTGGGTCGACACAGCAAAACTTGGGCAGCCCAACATCTACCGGACTGGAGCAGCTGTGTCCTGGGCCTCTGGATTTGACAGAACGGGCCGCTCGGCAGCAGTCTTCAGATACCAGCTTTGGCCCATTCCAGAAGGCTCCTCCGAGTTCGCCACCAGCCGCTGCCCCCAGCTCGTTTCCTCAATTCTCTTCAAGTTCCCCCATTAGTCCTTGCAGCCGCTTGCAACCTACGGGCAGGCCCCACTCCACAGGGCAGCTGTTGCAGCTCTCAGGAACTGGAGGGACCAACCACTTCCAGTTGCCCCCTTCATCCAGCTCTCCCTCCTCTGGCTTACGCCAGCTGTCCCAGGCCTCGGGAGGCCCCCCTCCTGCCTCCGGCCCCACCCAGCAAAGTGCATTAGGCCCTTCCGCCGAGCCGGCCACTGTTGCTCAGTTGCACCAGGAACGGTCCTCCTTTGCCTCCATGTCTCCCCCAAAGCCCAGTCCTGTACCCCCACCTTTGTACCCGCTACCATCAGGCCTTAGCCCTCCCAGTCAAAGCCTTCCCCCCAGGACTTTCCAGTGCAGCCCGTCAGGGGCGCTGGGTTCCCAAGGCTCTTTGCTCCTGCCTCAGACCTCCAGCCCACCTCCCCAGGTGCTCCAACTCCGGAGTCGGCCGCTGGTTTTACCAGGACGATTAACCCAGGACTTCAAGTTGATCTCCGCCTCCCAACCGTCTCTCCCCCACGAAGCCACGCAGACTTCGAGCCCGCATTCCTCTTCCCGGGAGTCCGTTTCTAGCTTCTCCTCGTTCTCCGGAGGCGGCAATGGCAGTGACATCGGGGGAGGACCCAGACCTCTAGGGAAGCCATATAGTTCGGGGCCAGGACGGGTCACTCTACCACGTCAGACATCCTCAGGTTCTCTGCCCCAACCCCTAGCATTTGCCATCTCCTCCTCTCTGCCCCTTGCCGAAAGGAAAGGATCTCTACAGCTGAGCGGGGAACAAGAGCCCACCCGCTCAAAACTGCCTTCCAACTTGTGAGATGCTCCTTCCTGCACCCACCCCTACCTCTCTGGCCCGGCCCCCTTTCCTCCCCTTTCCCGGAGTCCTCTTTCTTTCATTTTCTGCTTTTCAGGTCCCAGCAAAGGTCAATGCGCCTCGGCTTCCCCTCCTTCCATTGCTTTGAGTTTAACAACGAGATAAAAATAAGAACAAGGGCGATACACACACACACACACATACACACACACACACAAGATAACCAGGTATTCTTATAGCTATAGATTTTCAGTCACTTTCTTTTATAGAATATTTTACTACATGGAGCAAGAGGTTGGAAAAGAGGCAGCGGATCGATGCAGGGTGATAATGCGGCCCCTTAGCTTTCCAGATAACAAAAATTGTTTTTGCCATGCAGAGATTTCACTCCAAGATTGGCATTGAAGGATCTTTTCTTGGTAGGGCGGGGTCCCCCTTTTTCCTCTTTACAATTGGAGTATTTCACCCTTCGGGGTTTTGTACCAACCCAGGTTCTCATCTAAGGAAGCTTCAGATAGAGATTCTCCGTCATCTGGGTCGTGGTTGTCCCAAAGGTGCTTTTTCAAGGGTTTTTCTTTTGAAGATGTTTTGCTTCTCATTTTTTTTATCACAACCCCTGGTATGCCCAAATATGGGAGGGAGCATACTGCTTCCCTTTTCTGTCTATCGGTTCACTCTGGGAGCCATCCAGGCAGAAAGCCATTTTTTTAATGTTGCCTTGTTACATTTGTGTTGTTGTTATTTATCAGCACAATTGCAACGTATACATATACATACATACATACATACATACATACATACATACATACATACATACATACACACATACATGTATGTATGTATGCATGCATGTATGCATGTATGTATGCATGCATGTATGC